AGAAGTGACTCAGATAGGAAAGTATCTCTTGTTCATTGGATTAAGACTTGAGGGAACGTAGGGGATAATTAAACCAGAGCAAAGCTGGGCAAGTGATTTACATTTCTGCATCATTAACAATGCCTTGAAAAGCTGGTAGTAGCAAATGATCTTGAAATGAGCGATTCCTCCCCGAATCGGTCTGGGCCAATGGGAAGGGATAAGTTATTGATGTAAAAACAAAAAGAAAAAAGGAACCTAGAAAAATTTAATAGAGAAGGAAGACAAATTTTCACCAGCCATAAATATGATAGAGCCTTCCCATGTACATTGTAAACAGAGAGAGAGAACATACCTTGCTAGTCATTAACTCCTGGAAAATCCCTCGTACTAATACCATCTCCCTATGCTGGCCACTGGCCAGACAAATTATAAATATGAAGGTCTCCACCCAGAAGGAGTTAAGTGCTAAACAGATATTAGTCTGAATAATAATCTAGCAATAAGAGATACCTGCATCAAGTTCAAAGCAAGAAAAAGCAGGTTGCAGGAAAAAAAAAAAGTAGGTGAATCATTACATACAGGAAATAGGACTCCTTATAAATATAAATCAGCTGGCTCCTCTACCTCCATACCCTGGTGAGTATACAAAGCATCACTCATGCTCAGGTGCAGTGCAAGATGCAGGCTTGGGGTAGAGAGCATGAGCTATAAAGGTGAGATCCAGTAGGAACTTGGAAAGAGCAGCAGAATTAGGGAAACTTTCCAGACCTGAACTCTGGTCCCCTCCCTGTGCCCCAGGTTCATCACTGGAGCATCTGCATGGTACAAACCTACCCAGAAGTCTTCTGTTCATGGTGTTTTCCCAAAGTTTACAAATGGGCTGGGTGGAAAAGGCCCCATCTGTCACAGCTTTGCACCTACCTCCACATGGAGCATGCAGATGAGGCTGATGAAATGCTCTGGCGAAGCCCAAGAGGAAAATGTCAGCAGGGGCCAGGAACTCAGGGCAGGCTGTTGACTGCATGATTTGAATGGGCACAGATAGAGCTGAGTATATGGACCTACAGCTGTCCTGGTAGGCCACAGAAGGGCTGAAGGAGCACTGCTTGGGTAACCGCATGGTCAGCCCCATGCTCCCACCAATCTCATAGCGTCAACATCCCCTGTGCCCCAGTCCAGTACCAAGGTGGAAACTAGTGTGGAGAGAGCTGCTGAGCTTTGTTTTCCCATCTGCAGCTCCAGGCTATAGCAGACTCACCTGCTACTGGGTGTGAAAGCCACAGCTGCCTGCTCAGCACGATACTCTGGGCACATCAGGTCGAGGGGACACATGCCCTTTCCCCCACAGGCATGTGCCAGTAACTCAGTTCCAGGAATCACCTAGCCTCTATATGCTTAATAGGCATAAGGCAGGGCTCAAGCGTCTTGCAAAGCTTTGCCAGCACAATGGATTTAAAGCCATCCCTAGACACATTGGATCTTGGCCATACATTGTAGGGAATTGTAAAATCAATTAGTAAGAATAAGGCTGCTGTGACTAATGAGCTAATGAGTGATGCCTGAGTGGAAATGGCTCAAAGAGAGCTGCGGGGTGAGAGTCCTGATGCATTATTCATAGGAATAGGGTAGATTCAGGCTTCAAATTGTTTATTTTTTTTTCTTTATTTCTCCAGGCTTCCATTTAACCTTTAGAGTCAGTTCCCATCTCAGGAAGAAACAGAGGAAAGCAAAGGTGGCTTTTAAATTTCTTTCTTTCTTGGTGCGAGGAAACTTCATCACTGCAGAATCCCAGTTTCCATGAGAGGCGGATAGGGGTAATTACGCATCACAGGTGAAGTTCATTGTAATTTAATCCCTGGCACTCTGCATAGCAGCAGGTTTAACTGATTAGACTAACCTGTCCATGCTGCTGGCTTCCTTAAGTGACTTTCATTAACTACACTGTTTTGAAGTCAACAGGAGAAAGCTATGAACTCTTTGAACAAATCTCCTTTTTAGCTTTTTTAACGCATAACTTAAATAGTAATTACGATTAACCTTACAACAGGCCCCAGCAGAAGCAAAGATGAGGAAAATGAGGAAAATGTTCCAAGGTTAGCTAGCAAATCAGTAATAAGGTTAAGAATAAACCTCTAAGTACCTGTCTCTATGGCCTGTACTCACCCATGCTGCTTTTAGTAATTCATGCATGTCCTCCCAGGGTTGCATAAAAACAGCAGAAGAGCACTGATAAAGAAGGAGCATTAACTAATGGTTAAACCATGTGGAATACAAGTCTGGCTTCTGTTTCTGATGTTGCTACTAACTTGCTCCCTGAGCCTAACTGACCTCTCTGCAATTCAGATTCCTTATGTCTTAACTCAGGATAATAATATTTACCCATCTTGCAGGAACGTTGTCAGGTTTATTCTATTTGTATGCGTGCAACAAAAGCTTAGCGCTAGCATAGGACAACATCATTTCAGCACACCTCCAAATCTGCCTTTGGGTCCAGTCATAGCTTTTGTCCAGACATCTTCCTGCTCTGGCAATCTGCGGGGTTCCTGCAGACATTCAAAGAATTTTTTAGAGTCAAGAGAAAAGAAGAGTTTCAAATTAACAAGACAAAAGGCCCTGAATCAAACACAGTGCCTGCGCTTCACTAAGTGCGCACTCACAGCCTATAGTCCTTAAGCTCTGCTCTGGAGCCGGGAGACAAAGTACCTTGTGAACCAAAGCACTGTATACATCTTGAGATTTTTCGGCAGGACCTACTCAGCCTGGTAATTAGGGGGTGCGAGCAAGACTGGATGCAACCGTTACAGGATTGCTCACATCAGATGAGAATGCCTCTGCCAGAAGAATGTCTCAGCTGGCCATGTAGGACAGTAAAGGGGCTTGGCACACGTTTATTAGGCTAGAAGTAAAAATTGGACTGACCATTTCCTTTTTTTTATAATAACAAATTCCTCCAAAATCTTGTACTTGCTTGCATTTGAACACATAAACTAGAAAATATCTTTTTTTTTTTTTTCAAATCTTGTGGGCTGGTGAGGAAGGTTTATGTAGCATGAAGCTTTTTTGTCTCTTTAGTTAATGACCCCCCCCCCCCTCCAACACAATACACTGTAATTACCTACAAAAGAAGAAAAGGAGTTCAATGAAATGCTGTTAGGATGTACCTATTAGTTCTGTTATTTTTCTGGTGGCTTGCTAACATCGCAAAGCAATTGCATAAGGTGTGCATAAAAGAGGAAACATTTCATGTGACACTTACAGAAATGGATAAGATCAACTGAAATGACAGACAAGTGAAGTATGTTATCATCCCCCAAAACAAACCTCCAAACTGAAGGAGTTCAGCAGTTAGGGTGTCAGCATTATTAAGATCTTTCCATCTAAAAACCTATAAGGTAATGAAGATCACATTTCAGAAGTGCATGTGAAACCAATCATCTAGCACGCATTGTTCAAGGCCATTTAATACCAGAAAACCAGAAACTACACCCTTTTCTGTGTTTAGGCTTTTCCTAATAACAAAACAAACACAATCAGCATATTTGCCCTTTCTTAATAGGATTACAAAAATCTCTGCTGAATATGAAGGAGGTCAGGCAAAGAAAACACCAAAATGTCTTTCCCTGGATAATTAAGAGCTGGAAATAACCGCAGAACTTTCGTAGACAATATAATGACTATTATGGAGCCAACATGAAAGCAGTGGGTCCCAGCTTCTGAGAGTGTAGATCACCCAGAAGTGGTGTTAGTAAGTGAGGCTGGACGTATTAAAATTATGAGGTCGTGACCAGAGCTTTAGGTTATGACAGATGAGGACGGGTTCTTTATTTGAGAATAACAGAAGACCTTTTACTTTTGCTGTTTCAAGAATTTGAGTGATACTGACCCCGAACAAAGTTCATCCTGATGGTGGGACAGATAATAAAGGCCACGGGAATGTCTCTAAGAACATCTTAATTTCAGATTTCCCCTTTCTTTCCTTATTAAAAGTGGGGGCACCTGGCATAATCACGGAAAGGTGCTTTTTTTTTCACTGGTTGCTGCAATCCCGCAGTAAAATATGTACGTTACTCTTTGCAGAAGACAAGATTAATTAGCACAGGGGGTGATGAGGCACAGGCAAAACAGGCAGATGTCTGGGACAGCAGAGTTTGGGGACAGGAAAGCCAAGGTGCTGGGTGAGCAAAGAAGTTGTGGACTTGCCACCATGCTTGGTGAGGGTTGGCTCATTGCAGAGCTGAAGCGTCTTGCTTCTCCAAGCACCATCTTCCCTGAACTGCTCAGGGTGGTGAGCCTGAGAGATGCCCTTGGCCTGGTCTTCTCTGGCCTGGTACTGCTGCCTTTCCAGTGCACCCAGTTCTGTTCCCACCACCTGGGAGGAAGGAAGACAGGTTGCTCCCACCCCCTACATTTCCAAAACCTCGTGCAAAGCTTGGGGAGAAGCACTGTAACACCAAAAAAAAACCAAGCGTACCATTTCCACTGGGTAAAGGATTAGAAGTCAGTGTTTTCCTTCTCTTCCCAGTATGAAACTCTGGTCTCTGCTGAGGGTTGAACATGTAGAAGGGAAAAGCCCATGGGATTTAGCCCCTTGCTCCTCATAGTTACAGAAACTTCTTACCAAAATGAGCAGAAACCAACAATCTCTCTCTAACCACTACAAAAAAGAAGAAATATCAACAAGCTGCAAGGCAAGGCAGAAACAGTGGAATTATTTAATCCCATGGACTTGCACATCATGCCTAGGCACAAGGAACCTAGTTTAAACAACCTAAGCTATTGTCCATCATGCAAAACCTCATTTTCCTCTCCAAGGAACACAAAAAGAAACAAATGACAGGAGGTGGGGCCTGTTTTGTAGATCGTTAAGTCCATTTATAGCTCAATCAGACTTGTTTTTCCAGTAAAATTGGATCTTGGGTCCAAATCAGTATATGGTAAGGCACCAGGAGGTGTGTTGATAAAGCCAGCAGTGAAGAGCAGCGACAGCCCAGTGAGCAGGCGACGAGGGTCTGTGCGAGATGAAGCTGTTTCTGGCCCTTCTGATGGCTGCTGTTGCTGGTGTGGAGTTCGGTAAGGTTCTACTCTGACTTATCCAAACTCCTGCAGGAGATGCAGGGTGATGGGATGGGCTGTGTCCTGTTCCCAGTGAAGTCCATGCCTTTCACTTTGAGCAATTTTAGGCAAAGATCTGTCTTTGGGATACTTCCAGCCTGTTGGATGTTAAGGATCATTGTCATATAGCTGGGATTATTACTTTAGGCTCTTTAGGAAGTGTTACAAGATGAAATGTGATTATATGGTATCATTTCTTTAATCCAAGCTCCAGCTCTCACTTTTTACATGTTTTCTTGCTTAATCTAACTCTCCTCTTTTGACTTTTTAACTTTCTGTTCTGCTTATGAGATGAAATGAGCTAGTCTGTTTAATGCATTGTCTGTAACGGCTCTCTCTAATTATATGTTGCATATATAATTTATTAAAGTTCAGCCATTAGAAGTGGGATAGAGGGACTGGGACACAAAGCTGGTGCCTCAGGTACTGCAGTGCTGATTTTTCCAGTCCACGGTGGTCTGAGTGGAGCGAAGGACAGTTTCAGCAGGGCACCTGTGAAAACACCGAGGGTGAAGTGTTTTGGAGGGTTTCCTCATTCGCAACTCTGGATTGGGTCTGCCTCCCCACATAGCAGCTATGTTTTCCTAGGAAATCCTCCAAAGCTCTCTTTTTTCTCCATCCCATTTGGTCCTCCCTGGCAGAATCCACTCTGCAAACACAGAGATTTTAACCTCAGAGGTGAAACTTGCTCTGGAGGAAGGAAAGCATGTAACCCCACTCACCAAAAACAATTATCTATCTTTTCTGGCTCCAGACCATCCAGCGTCCTACAGTATAGCAGCCTGTCAGAGGAATAATGCACTGTCCTATTCTCTGAGGGATCTTCAAGAAAACATGTAAGAAGTGAGAGTTGGAGCTTGAACTAAAGAAATGATACCATATAATCACATTTCATCTTTTTTACGTAATGCACTGTTCTATTATCTCTGAGATACATGGTAGTCCAAAGCCCCTGGGTGCTTGTGCTGTGCAAAGAGCAATGCGTGCCTCATGTGCTCACCAGAGCTGCTGCAGCAGAGATCAGTCATCCTCAGCCTCCAGAGCAGGAGATATTTTCTTTCATCATTGCATCTTATTTATTCTGGGGTGTTTGTTCTTTAATGGAGAACTGGAGAACTCATCTAACTGTTGTTCAGATGAGAACATTACTAATTAATAGAGGATGGCTTGGAAAGAAAGGGATTCTGTGACCAGGTCTCGCTAAGACAAGGGAAGAGTTCATCTGGAAGGAAGAACAGAGCAGGGCAGCAATGGGGTGGGACACAGATTTGGTCTAGGATTCACTCACAGGCTTAGCTTTGCCAACCTGTCTAACGAAAGCTTGACAAGCATTGGGCAGCTGGGGAGTAGAAGCTCCTGCGGTGGCCCAGTGCTGTTACATTTCTCTCTCATGCCCTGCCTCGCCTCCCTGTCCCGTTCAGATAGGCGCGGTCAGGAGAGATGCTTTGATTTGTCAGGCAAACGTTAGCAAAACTTGGAAAACGCAGGGTGGATTCTGCAGAGCAGAATTTTCTTTTACACAGCCTCACCTCTGCAAAGTGGAGATAAAACCATGACACATCCACAGTTCTTCCAAGCTTCCTCCTGGGCATGAGCAGAATCTGTGTAATTTTGGCATTTTCTAGAGGGACAGTCAGAGGCGATGGATGGAAGATCTGACAATATCCACATGAAGCTGGTAGATCTTCTCTAAGAAATTCTGGTTATTTATCACCCTTCTTGCTTTCAGCTCCCCCAAAAGGATGTGCTGTCACTAAATGTGCATGTCTGCTTGTCTATGTGTAAGTTCATAAGCTCTTAAAATGAGAAGGGACCGCTAAGTCTGCTATCTAACTGCCTTCACAAATAGGCCAGATAGATTTTCCAGAGCTTGCTTAAAACAAGGCTTTTAGATACCACGTCTTAAAATGTCCGTGTCACGGTGTCTTCTCCCTGCTCTCTGAGATGCCATGTGACCATTGCTGCTGGAGAGCAGCTTCACTTGTAAAAGTAAAGTTGTTCCGTTCCAGCTTATTGTGTTAAATGCTTCTCTATCTAACATCTTTTCTGTATCTAAAGAAAGATATACTTATGGCTACAGCTACTGTTAAAAGTATTTAGCCATATTTGAGCCTGTTAGTTGGAGTAAGGTCAATGAAAATATGTGGTTTGCAAACATTGGGATCAATGCTTTATTAGTTTATGGTTCCTTTGTGCATGCTCTTTCATACTGACTTTGACTCCTCCAGTGTTGAATATCAAGAAATCTGAGAATAATGACAAAGTCTCCCCTTAAAGCTGTATTTAATAGCTGTCTGGTGTAGAATGAAATTGTAAATAAAACAGCAGTCCACAGTGAGGGAAGTAGAATAATCAGGCAAGCTTTGAATAAAGGCAGAATTGCTGGGTCTGTTTATATAAGGACTCTTTCTAATTGGGATGAAGTTTGCAGGTGGTGTCTACAAAAGGTGGATTGCTTGGCTCTGCCTGCTGTGATAACACCCTACTTTAGGTGTGCTGAGATAGGATGAATTTTTGGTGGGGTTTAAAGTGATGTCATCAGGGCTGTCGCACAGATGGAATGAGAAGAATTTTTCAGACGGGACCATATGTAACAAAGGAGGGGCTGCCAGCCTGTGATGGTACCAAAATGCCTCGTTATGTCTGCAGTGCCTGACACTTAGGTGTCTGGTCAGGGCTGGAATTGAGGACCTAGATTGAATGTTGGGTTCCTCAGTAAGAGGAGTGTGGAGAGCAAAGTGCTCCAGAAAGTTTGTCCAAAAATGGCTTGTGCTGGCTGGGAACCTTTGACCTGGGTGATAAGAAATACCAATCACTGCTTTGGCTTGAGATCCTTACCCTGGAGCAATCTTGGAAGGTCAAGAGTGCTCTGGAACTACTGGCTGCACCACAAGGCTCTGGGGTCTTCGGTGTCTCTCTCTCAAATCTCTCCATCCCAAAAGCTTTAGGCACCGAGGGACTCAAGCTGAGGTTGTTCTGTGCATCTAGGAGCCAATTGGCACCTGCAGCCTTGCAGGGGCCTTTGCAGCACAGCTGGGAGGTGATAAAGGGCATCTAGGAGCTGACGAGGGATAAGGCAGGGTGAGCTACCTTGGACTGGATTTTGGGACTTGGGCACCAAACTCTCTTTTTCTGGCCTCTTTCTAGAGCACAGCAGCCCTGTGTCTCCCCACGTGGTCTATTATCATGCCCATAATTTTCTTTTTTAAATAAAGTTTTGCATATTCTTGTCATGAAACCAGTATCTCAGCACAGGGGAAGTGGTTGTGCTTTATTTGCTCTCATGGCTCAGCAAATTTGATGGAGACAGTTCCTTCTCTCTGGGCTGACCTCCTGCCTGACAGCTCCTCGCCTTGGAAACGGGCTGGTGGTGTAGTCAGCAGATACTGCTGTCCTTGCTGCAACTGACGTTCAAGACTGATTTCCCTGTGCATCCGAATCACTTTCCAATGCTCTGTGAACACAAAGGCAAGGAGGAAAGCAGTTGCAGATTAAAACAGAGTTAGGGTAAACCAGCTACAAGCGTGTTTACTTTCCTATGGGAATAAGGCAGATATAAGGAACGTAGGGGTGTGGTGGTTTGGCAATCAGAATGTTTAGACACTTGGCATAAACATATGAAACAGGGCCTATTAGCTAATTACAGTAATGATTAAAAGAAAAACATCTTGCAAATTGCACAATTGAAGAATTGGACTTCTCCTCGGTCCCTGCATGTCTTAGCCGGTTGCTGGCACCTGGGCCTAGATCTTCAAAGAGTTCAAGCACTGAAATGTTGCATTTTGCAATGCCCATCTGCTGGCATCCAGCCACCCCGCAGAATAGTCAGCTATGTCTTAGGCAACCCATTTGCTCCCATGGTGATAAGGGAGAAGCAGGTGGGTCAAGCAGCTAATTTTTGTGAATTTGGAATTGAATTGTTGTTTTTTCATCATCATCATCATTTTTGTTATTTAGAGTTGGAATGCCCCACCACATTCAGCATAAAATTTGCTGCATGTTCCAGATTGCATAACCAAAAATTAAGTAAAATCTCTTAAACCCTTTTTTCCAGACTACTTAAAATCTATCAGCAAAAAAATATCAAATCTATCAAAACCACTGACAACAAAGTAAGAACAGAAGGAGCATCTTTTTGCCCCAAACATTCAGCAGTTGATGAGACTTTCCTGTATTTTGGGGCCCCTTGCTTTTGACTCTGCCATGCCTGACTTGTTGTGGGGGGAGCTGAAACCACATCGAAGGCTGTGCTTTGACCACCACACTACTGTATTTCTCATTTGCCTTAGCTCAAATACCTTCTGCTATTCCACCTCTGTTCTCCGTACGAGTATTTTTGCGAGATACCTTTCCCGGAGGCACCTGGCAGGGCATTAACAGCACCAACACTCATGCCAACCCCTTGTTGCTCCTCTTTGCAGCCAAAGCCTTGAAATGCTACACCTGCTATGAACCTACCAGCAGTGGCAAGTGCCTAAAGGTCCAAAACTGCGCTAAGAATGAAACCATGTGCAAGACAACCATGTATTCCCTGGAGGAAGGTAAGGAGGAGACTCCCAGAGGAAGAATCTGCTCAAATTTATGGCAGGTCAGGAAAATCCTTGGAGATCTCATACCAGGAGAAGAGTGGGGGAACAAGACAGCCACTGACAACCTTCCATGCTGCAAAGGCTAGGAGGAGTCTAGTCCCCTAGTCTTGCCTTTGTTTGCAGCCCAGTTTAACTTAAGCTTGGGAGGTAATTTTATCCCATTACTCTGGTTGCAAAAGGGGAGCATAACACTCTTTATTTATATTTGTAATATGAGCTGGTGTCTGCCCAGTGAAGACTGCTGGCATGGTGAGCAGTGCGTTTCCTCATATAAAAAATGTAAGCCTGGAAGAGAGCTCTGGAGGGGCAGAGAGGAGTCCCCTGCTGTCATTGAAAGCAGCTTTAAGAGGAGTGAGCACTTAGTGAATGCAGGCTAATAGCCACCACTCAGCACTGAGTGTGTTTAGAGAAAACATGTTGGCATGATTATATTTTGATGTTCAGGTAGCTTTTTCAGCTTGAATCACGCAGCTAGAGAGTTCTGGCTCTCCGGACCATTTATATGACTCACACAACGCATATGCATTTGACAGTGTTCTTCTGGCTCCAAAACTGTTTATGAAAGCTAGGTGGAGAAGAGAGACCAGCAGAGATGATCAGACCTCAGTATGCAGGAAAGGCCAACTTCCAATCGGCTGGAAGCAAAGCAGAAATGCCCTTGAGTTCTCTGGAGCTCTCAGGAATACTTTGTCAGTCTGATTAGTGACATAGAAGTCATAATCTGCCAAAAATAAGAGACATTGTGTATGAACTGGACATATGGCCTTAGTGTTGAGGGTAGCTAGTGATTCCTCTATGGATAAGGAGCTTTTCTCCTCTGTTCCTCCTATTCCTAATTGTTCCTTCTGTCTCACTTTGCAATGTTGTAGTGTATCCCTTCGTGGGAGTCTCGACTGTCACCAGGATGTGTGCTTCCATCTGCATCCCATCTGACGTGGATGGGATCGGCATGACACGTCCTGTCTCCTGCTGTTATTCTGACTTGTGCAACAGCAACATTGATGGTGCAGCCAGTTTGAGGATTGGCTTTGCACCGGTTGGGCTGCTGGCAACTTCCCTTTGCATCCTTTCCTGGACTAGACTGTGAGGACGTGTAGGGGAGGTGTTTCCTACTGAAGAACCCACCTAAGAGGAGAAATAACCCCTGCCAGCCCAGCTTTCCATTTGGGTGCCTCATGGACAACCTTCAAGGACTCTCAGAAATTGCTTTTTGAGCACCTGCCCTCCTGCCATGACCAAGAGAGAAGCAAAGCTCAAGAAGTTCTGACTAATCTTTGGGATGACTTGCCCACAGCTCCCACAAAACATACACTGCAGTTCCTTTGCTGTGCTGGCCTGGCTGGTTTTGAACTTAAAATTCTGCTGTAGAGAGCATATTTAAAGTAAAAATCCTAGAGCTAAGAGCCTTCCACCCCACCTTAGGCCATTTTTTCCCCTAGTTGTTGGCCAACAGAATAGCTGAATTGACCAGTCTTCTCAGATGAAATTCATTTTTATGTGATGGGTCCTCTCTATGCCACAGTATTGTGTTGGGCCTTTGCTCTGTCTAAATTTCCCTCTTAGTGCATAATAAGTTAAGGTGACACTTCTCTGCTTCCAAAATATGAGGAAGGAGACTAAACTTCCCATGCCAGTGATTTGATCCAAGGAGGCTGAAATCTCTTTTGTTTTCTGTACCCTTTTGAGCCTAATAAAAACAATATTGAATTAAGTCTGTAGTGATTGCTAAATTTATTTACAATGTGCCTGTCCTATGATGAAAACTATGACATTTTATTTTATTTTATTTTATTTTAATTATTTATTTTCAAACTCCAGCTCTACCTTTCAATATCTGTTACTCGGTGGGGTTCAGGTAGGCTCCGTGGTCAGTCTTGCAGCAGAAGTGTAAGACAGTCCCTATTATCCTCCACTGCCAGTGTGAGCAATCACACCAGAGCGTTTCATGACAATGCTGGAGAAGGTTTGCTGTGAGACCGTGCACTGGATCACAGAACTGCTGTCCATGATATGCAGTCCTGCGTTCTGCCACTGGGCAGTTCTTCATGTTCCCACAATCCCCTTTTCAAGATTTACCGGCAAAAATGTCCTCCTCAACTGTCACTCTCCTTATGATCTTTCAAATCACCAATGAAGATGGGATTTTAGGTCTTCCATGTAGCATCTGCGTTGGAGCAGGTTTCCAGGAGAGGTGGTGCAGTTTTTATCCTTGGAGGTTTTCAAGACCTGGATGAAACCCTAAGCAACCTGAGCTGATCTCCGAGCTAACCTTGCTTTGAGCAGGAGGTTGGACTGGAGACCTTCTGATGTCGCCTCCGATCTGAATCATCCTGTGATGATTCACACCCTTTGATGTGAATTTGCACACATTGAGGTCACCAGAGCACAATCACCATTATTCCAGGTACTCTGCAAAGTCTAGAGCACTTTTCTGCAGTGATTTGTACCTGTCTACCTGTCCCACATTTCTTCCCATGACCAGACTGAGAGCAAGTTTGGATAACCTGCAATTCTGGGGCTATACATAGCTTCCGAGTGGCTCAGTTGTGGTTCCTTTTCTGGAACTACTTTGTATAAATAACCAAGGTGCTGCACTAGCATAGAGGTGACTGGATGAGCCAAATCTCTGGTTGTGGGAAGACTATGAAACCAGTTACAGGCTTGCACTCCCCGATAGTGTTTGCTTCACTGTGTCCTCCGCCTGTGAGCCATGCCCAGAGCTTCGTTCCTAGAGATGTGTGATATGATTGCGGCTTTCTGCTGTGCAAAGACGGTAGATGGGGGTTCTCCCTTTCTATCTATCAGCTCTGGTAATCAGCAGTCTCAGGCTTTGCTGGCTCAGGGGCTGCATCAGGAAGGAGCACGGCATGTGGTAGCCAGCAGTGAACCACCATCAATATGTCTTGTTCCATGTTGAGTTTATTTAGACTCCCAGCCTTTACAGCACCCTGTTAGCATTAGTGCCACCACTTCTTTAAGGGTAATTTGTAAAATGACTTCTTTCTTCTTTTGTTCTTCTTTTATTTTTATTTTTATTTTTATTTTTCTCTGCCTCAGAATTGCATTCATTCCCCTCGTTCGGGCAGCATGAGCAGCAGTGAGATTGCTTTGTTTGTCTTTTCTGCATCATGTATGTTATACAGCCCTCTGCTCCATGCTCTGCCTGTTAGCTCTTCTTCAAGCTGAAGAGCCCTTGTCTAAATCCACTTTTCACTCGTGAATGCATTTTATGCCCTTGCTGAAGTAAATCTGTACCCCAGGTGCTTGGGTACAGCAGAGGACTGCTTTTTACCACATCACTGAACTAAGTGCCCCAGGGCACTTTGCGAAGGCAGTAATGCCTGATACGTTTCTTCTACAGTCTGAAGAAATTGAGATGTGCCGGAAAGGAAAGCTAGAGCCCAGATATACGGATAAATATTTCATCATCTTTGTTCCTTGTGAAGAACCCTATTTTATGTTCTCTCTCCAAGCAAAGCACAGGAAAGCCCACGTTTATTTCACGTTCCTACAAAAGGGTAGGTTTATTAGGACATAGTCAGAACATCTAGTTCCTGCCTGACTTGTTAGGGCCAGGAAGACTATTAGACGTTTCCCATTCACTGGCCACAGGCATATCTATCTCAGCACTTCTGCACATGATGTCAATGAGTATGTGCTAGTATAACTCGAAGATAACCTGCCCCCTTTCTTTGTTTTCCACTGCACAGCACTGCTCTTTCTCGGAAATGAGCTATTGTGCTCACACTATCATCTTGTCCGTATCCTGTGCTGGTTGATAAGCAATGAAGCAATGCCCCAGAACATTGCAAAACTTCACTTCAAGGGCTGTTTAAAACAAATACATCAGGAGCCAGATTATTGTATTATGTTGCCATCTCAGTGTACACCACTAAAAATACCACTGCAGTCATGGGCACTGGAAGCATGACTCATGGACACAAGATACTGAAAATGCTTGAAACCAAGCCACTGCTGGGCTTGGGAAGGTGAACTGAGGAACCAGGACTTCACATTTAGCTGCAAAAACTAAAGTTATGTTGCTAGAAAGCTGCACAGAAAAAAACATTGGCTCCCAGTTGAAAGAGATGAAGATATTGCCCTGTAGCCCAGGGAATACATTACTGCCATTGCTAGTAGTAGGCCACAGTCTTTTTACTGAGTCTGCAAGGCCTCAGGGCTGAGGCTCGGCAGGTTTGCTTTGTCTGAACTTGTCTTTACCTGCCCAGAGCTTTTTTTTAACTTTGTTTATCTGTAATAGCATATTTTTTTTTATAATTGACTAGGTGGCTATGGCTAATTTGTTTTATTTTTGTTTATCTGGGTCTGGTACAACCATAGTTTTACATAGATAGCAGTAACCAGCGGTTATTGTATGTAGAATGAAATATTTACGACTTTAACGAAGTAGACAACGCAGGATGCTGCATAGAGGAGTCCTGGCACGGGAAGATAAGAGATGGGGCGCAGGCTTGGCACTGGAGACGCCATGGATTTAAACAATTCAGCAACGGTCATTCGAAAAAAAATGCAGACCAGGAGCTGAGCAAAACTGGCTTTCTGGATAACAAAAAGAACCAAGAACTTGCATAAAATGCGGCATACCTAGTAAATTCAGATGTAGGGTGGACTTGTGGACCAACGAAGAAAGAACAAGCTGTAAAAGTGTTTCAGCACACAAAATCAAAATAACCCCCAGGTGGATCCTAGACTGAGGAAGAAGACTGCCTCTCTACCAGCATCATGCTACTCCCAATGGAGGGCTTGAGATGATGGTGAGTCACTCACTGCACCCCCATGGGACGAGAGCCACCACATTAGGACCCCACAGGGTAGCGGAAGAGC